CCGGCAGCTCCCCGGGGCGTCCTGGGGCCCTCCAGCTGCTCCCGGGGGCGTCCTGGGGCTCTCCGGCAGCTCCCCGGGGCGTCCTGGGGCCCTCCGTTTCCCCAGCTCCCCCTTCCTGCACTCCATCAGACCGCCCAGGGACGGTCGCCCTATTCAAGCGCTCAGCGTGGCTTGGGTGCGAGTGTCCCTCCCCGCTGGCCACAGAGAACAGGACCTGCGGCGCCCGAGCCCCCTGCACATCGCCGGGCCCAGCCTGGCGGGGAGAATGACCTGGGCGGACCTGAAGCTAGGGCAGTGCCAGCAAGCTGGGGCCCTGCGGTTCGGGGGGCAGCCCTGGGTTAGCACAGGACCCAGAAGTGGGCCACAGGCGGGGGACACACGCATTTGCATTTGGCTCAGGACAGGGCCCTAGAAGGAAGCGCAGAGCCGTGTGCTGGCGGCCGCCTGGGGTCGCCCCTCCTGTGCTCCCCGGGAGGCGGGGACGCGGCCTCGCTCCTCTGAGCACCGCAGCAGCCTCCGGGTGCGGGGTGCGCCCCAGACCCGGCACGGCGGCCGAGGACGTTCGGAGGCCTGAAGGTGGAGACGGATGTGCCTGTCGCCGAGGATGTGACTGCTGCTCGTTACTCATCCCCGTCGCCCCAGGCGGCCGCAGACTGCGGCTTACATAACCATCATTCACCCCTCCGTCAGGCAACCAGCTGAGGCAGGAGCTGAGCACAGGGCATCAGCTCAAGTCACAGGTGAAGAGCAGAGCTGGCTGCGGCGGGGCGGAGGGCAAGCACCTGGCCCTCCGGCAGCTCCCCGGGGCGTCCTGGGGCCCTCCGGCAGCTCCCCGGGGCGTCCTGGGGCCCTCCGGCAGCTCCCCGGGGCGTCCTGGGGCCCTCCGGCAGCTCCCCGGGGCGTCTTGGGGCCCTCCGGCAGCTCCCCGGGGCGTCCTGGGGCCCTCCTGGGGCCCTCCAGCAGCTCCCCGGGGTGTCCTGGGGCCCTCCTGGGGCCCTCCAGCAGCTCCCCGGGGCGTCCTGGGACCCTCCGGCTGCTCCCCGGGGCGTCCTGGGGCCCTCCGGCAGCTCCCCGGGGCGTCCTGGGGCCCTCCTGGGGCCCTCCAGCAGCTCCCCAGGGCGT